GTTGATCAGTATGTCTTGCCCATTGGATTTTATTTTCTCGCATGTTCGCAACGTTGTTTTCTACGCCGCTCATCTAAATGGAGAGTGCCGGAATTCACGTACTTTAGAAGCACAGTACAGTGCACTTTGACCGTGTGCAAAAATTTTGTGGTACTGGAAACGATTATTGTGTTTCAACACAACCTCCAGTGGTGCAGTCGAAAACTGACCAATTGCTGCTGAATCGACTGGTGGTCAGTCCTGACCTTCTTTTCATCTCCTGAAGGGATTACCGGGCAGCTGGATGGCCCCTCTGACAGTTTTTTGTTCAGCATTATCGTGATAAGGTGAATTTTGACCGTACACACCAAAATTCATGCCTTTGAGGGTCTTACGAACAAGTTTTTCCCCAAAACGAAGTTACAGTTTCTAGGAAATTTCACCACTAGTCATAGTTCGCTTCCTCGAAAAATTGCATTTTTGGAGCTAACACCTCTGTCACCGGTATCCCGGGATCGCAGCGAAGCTGCTTCAACAGCATCCATCATCAAGCCCCTAATGCCAGCCGATTCAAGCTTATGCATTCCGTAGATTGAGCTTCCGGCTGGCGACTGAACATCATCCTTCAGTTCGGCCGGATGCTTCCCGCTTTCGAGTACCATTTTCGCGGCACCGATCAGTGTGTATGCGGCAAGTTTGATGGCCAAATTACGCGGCATACCCATTTTGACGCCACCATCAGCAAGTCCTTCGACAATTGCAAACATCTGAAAAACGTGTGTGCACGGTTCCGATGCTTTGCTGGCACCCCTGAATCCTGTGTACTTCGGTAATTAGTAGTAGTACCTACAGGAAAAGGATAACCGACGGATTTCGATCGAATAACAAAAGTTCCAATTAAAGACATATTACTTGCGGTTAACAACCCTAACAAAGTCATAATAAACGCTCTTTTCGAAATTCATCTATTATCATTATTTTCTTGTACCTAATAAATAAGAATTAGAGAATTTATACCTCATTTTTCGAACAGAAATTTCTCTGTAGATACCTCAGCATAGCCTAAGGGCGACAGCGTTTGAGATGATGCCGTGATACTCAACACAGATCGCTATTATTTCAAAATAACCAACTACCTCTGCCGCATGGATCCTATTAAGCTGTTAAACCCTTCAGAAAGAAGTGGACAAAAGTCACCGGTAGGTCGACCATTAAGCAAAGCATTATCGATCAAAGTAACTGTAGAAGACTATCAGCTACATGGATGCATAGGCAGATCTGTACGGAGAAGGGGAAAGGGGGGAGGGGGAGGGAGCAAAGGTCTTTCGGCAGAAGTACCAGTGCTGCAGAAGTACAGGTTTGTTCGTAAATAAAACTAAAGTAGCTCTAAACAGCAGTGTTACAATTTTCTTCCTAGTTTTTGCACAGTTCCAT